ACACACACACACACACACACACACACACACACACACACACACACACACACACACACAAACCATCATCAGACTGTGTCATAAAAGCCTGTCATCATATTTAACAGGCGGTTCTGGACTCACATCTGTAACGTTGATGACTCCAATCTGGGGTCTGAACAGATCCACGTTGAAGGTTTTCTCCCAGTAGGGAATCAGCTGGAAATGGTRGCAGAGTAAAAGACAGCATCAGATATGGACCTACACATTCTTATTGGTTTTTTCATCTCGTATAAATTGTTCACACACCAGTGGGAAGTCATCGGGATCAATCCAGATGATGCTGAGGTCAGGAAGGTGAGTGTTTTCTCGGGCAACCTCTTTCAAGATCTCTAAGAACTCATAACCATCTGGAAGATTAAAACGTAATTATAATAAGAAGTTACACAAATCGTTTAAGTTGTTATCACAGCTTTGGTTTCTAAGATTAGCAAGTGACTGCCTGCACATAACCTTCCCAAACTCGTTATTCTAATACTAAGATATGATTTGTTTTTGTATACTCATTGATRTAGACATTATTTATTTATATCTATTCCATTTATACACTTTTCTATTACCTCAGACCATGATTTTGGAGCACACACATGTGCTTTCAATTATTTGGCTGCATAAATATCACAAAATAAATATCAAAAACACAAAATGTTTTATAGCAAATTTGTCTTTATTACCACAATTGAACACATTCTTACCAGGATCCTCCTCCTCTGCAAAAGCCACAATGTGGATGCCCTCAATGTCATCCTCCTGAAAATTAATGAGAAAAACAAAACTGTTAAAAAAAGTTTGAAAAAAAAAAAACCTCATAAGTGATGTATAATTGGTGCTTAATACTGACCCAAGTCTCAAACATATCTTCTGCCCGCAGCTTTCGCAGYGTTGGTCTTGTGCCACAGAGACAACAAAAGATCAGAACAGAAATCCAGTAATGAAGATAAGAGAGGYGTTGAAATAAACGCAGAGTTGTTTGTTTTTGTTTGCTTGTTTGTTTGTTTACCGCCTGTGTTCAGTGATGAACTCCACCAGCTCTTCCTCAGAATGAGGCCGACCCGGGAYGGTGACAGGTTCCTCCATGAAAGGCTCGTAGAAGTCGACCTCGTTCAGCTTCAGAGTCAGCTCTTTGGCCACCTGAACACATCAGACCGGTCAGTCCGCTGCGTCGGCTTCTCTACAGCATTCGCTTGTTTGCAACTTACAGATTTCTCAAACGTGGCAAAGAATTTAATGTAGGGCTGAAAGTGCTCCGCGGCTTCTTTAAATGCTTCGTAATCTGGGAAAGGAGAAAGCTTTGTTGTGCATGTTTCTTTACTGAACTCAAAGACAAACTGATGKTTTTTGTGATCACACATCGGGGAGTGAAAATAGTTCAACTTTGACCTCGGTGTTCCCACAGATGGTCAGATAGGATGTAGCTCAAAGTAAASCAGTGTTTGTAAAGCATGTTAGAGGACAGCTGTGGTAAAATTGGATCTGTAAATGCGTGGAGATGAGGGGTTTAAAATCCACTCATGCTTTGACGGAGGGAACATGAAGTCCATCTCCGAGCCATCTAACAGACAAAATAACTATACAGTATTTTACAAACTAAAGTACTCACACTCTGAGTCTTCGCTTTTAAAGTAACCAACGAGTCGGATGTCCTCCTCCATCCTGTCAAAGGCCTTTAGCTCCAGGGCATTTTCTATAATTTCCACTGGCTCTTCCAGAAGCTGAAGATGGGAGAGAAATCAAAGCTGATTGGATGGGACCAACGTGACCTTTAAACTCTGACAAGACTGTTGCTGATTAAAGCTAACAGCTGGAAATCTGCTCTGAAACAAATCAACTCACGTCTAATAAAAACTCCACAAGAGTGTTAGCAGAGAGCAGCCCGTCGAACTCAATCACCCTGTCAGCCTTGAAGACATATACACTGCCTTCCTCCTCCAAGTCTGCAAAGAAATAAAAATATATATTATCACATTGTGTGGAAGGCTGCTCTGACTTCTAAAGACATGTTTTTGAAGTGGATTTCAATGGAAAGGGTAGAAACATTAAAGAGTAACTTATCCCAAAAT